GATTCTATAAGGTAACCCCCAAAAAAGACCCAGAGATCCCTATACCCCAGGATGAAGGACTACACCTTAAACCATAATTCGAAGGCCCCCAAAATTTAAGGTGTATTCTTTAATCAACGGCCCATAATATGAAGGCACCTATAATTTAAAGCCTAAAACCCGAGAGTGCCATAACGAGAGATTCGAAGCTCGTTTTCAAAAACGATCGCCCCGCCGGTGGTGGGCTCAATCGGCACAAGACGGTCCGAGATAAACGTCGTCCGGCCTCCAAATGACTCTTTTGGGCACGGAGGTGGGCGGCCTGAGCCTTGAGTTTAGGGCTTTAGGGTTTAGGGTTGAGGGATTTAGGGTGTAGGGTTCAGGGTTCAGGGTTGAGGGCTTAGGGTTTGGGGTTTAGGTGAGAGAGGTTTAGAGATTTAGGGTTTAGGGTTTGTGTTTTTTAAAGGGCTGGATTTGTTGTTTGAGGTGTTCGATGGTTCTCGGCTTGAAGCTTGGTCGCTGTAGGGCTTGAGGGTTTAGTGGTCAAGGGTTTTGCGTTCGGGGTTTTTGGCTTCAGGAGATAGGACCTCCTTCTTTTAAAGGGGGCATAGCATATGGGTAGTTCTCTAAATTAGGGCCCCTTTTAGGTCCCCAATATAGTACGGCACCCTTATACAAGGGAGCTTGTCAGCATTGAACCCTAAACCCTAAACCGTAAACCCTAGACCCTAGGCCCTAGACCCTAAACCCTAAACCCTAAACCCTAAACCCGAGGACCCAGAGCGCTCCAGGGCTCACGCGAGAAGGGTCCAGGTGAGTACATCTCGAGGGTCTAACCCCAAGGGTCCAAAGGACCCAATAGTCAGGTACTTAGGTTTCGGATAGTAGTTATGTAGGTTACTATTTGGGAGAGTATATGATTATTAGGTAGTTGGACCCTTAGGGCAAGGTTCGGGGACCCCTACACCGTATACGGAAAAGCAGAGCGAAAGTACCTACGCTAAGGCTTGCGAAGTTCGGATTTAGGGATATTTTGGGGGGGGGATCTAAAAGACATGCCTTAAAGCCAAAAAGAAGAGGAACACGACAGAGAAATCCGGCCTCCTGTAAACTCCGTATTCAAGTAAAGCTGGATGGTCAGGAAACTGCGACCATTCTCGTCCTCAGGAACTTCGCGACTTCGCTGCCAAAGTGCGGGGGTGTTAGGATTTCTAGGGGGTTTGGAAAACCCTAAACCCTAAACCCTAAACCGTTAGTTTTGGAGATCTGTATGCTTTGAAACTTCGGCTCAGGGTGTGCCGGCTTTATGGTTTAGGGGATAATGTGGGAACCTCACAAAGTACAGCCTGCTACCTTTAGGTTGGTGAACTTTCGCTCTACATGATCCTGTTGTTTTTGTTTTTTTGTTTTTATTCTTATCTGTTTTCTCCTGTGCTGTTTCTTGAAATTCCTGCTATAGAACAAGACAATAGAACTTGCTTCTTTTGCTTTGTGCTTTTCTTAAATCCCTGCTACAGAACAAAAATAATATACAGCCTTTTTGTGTTTAGGATTTGGGGTATTGGGCACGAAGGAGTTAATGCCTCAAATGGTTGACGGTGTTTGGGGCTTGTGGCTCAAGGTACGAAGACTGGGGCTGTAGGAGCCGGCTGGGTACATGGGGCTTTGATGATTACAGTACGGGTTTAGGATTTAGGGTTTAGGTTTAGTGTTTAGGGTTTAGGGTTTATACACTATAGTATCAAAAAAACCATAGCACGGGGCACTGTTTATCAGTATTGAAATCCCAAAACAGTCCTCGTGTGCGCAGTCCGTATGATCGGCGTGGTGCATTCCAGGCAAATACTTCCTGCGGCTAGGAGGGAAACTGTCTCAAGATTCACGGCGTAGGGTTCACAGTTTTGGGACTAGGCTTAGGCTTTGGAGTTTAGATGCGAGCTTACCTACACCTCCAGCAATAGCCAGACAATACAAGTCTTATCTGGGGAATACCAGCGCTATTGAACCCTAGACCCTAAGCCCTAAACCCAAAACCCTGTCAGACTATGTGCAAGAAGACTGTTCCCGGAGAACTGTCATCCTAGGACCTGGCATTCTTTTTCCGATGATCACCCAAACCCCTAAGCCCCAAACCCCTGAATCCTAAACCCTAAACCCCAAACCCGAAGCCCTAAACCCCTAAGTTCTATACGCCCCTAATCCCTATATCCTAAACCCCTAAAGTCCTTAGCCCTAGACCGGCTGCCATGGCAGCACTGGACCACCAAACTAGACGTCAGTCAGGATCAACTCTGAATCCTGGACTACCTTACTGGATTTAGGGCCTAGGATCTAGGGTTTAGGCTTTAGGGTTTAGGGTTTAGCGTTGACGAACTGCTCAGTTACCATAGTAAGAAGACTCTGTCATGTACTATAGATCCCTCATATGGTAGCGCTTGACTTTAGTTGCATAACCAGAACCCAGCTTCAGCTGCTATTACCGACCTTCTTGTAGGGTTTTGTGATACACTCGAATCTGGAAACTATAGGGACCCTACAAAAATTAGGTTGTGCTAGGTTAAGGGCAAGATACTATTCCTATCACTGTTGTTCAACTGGATATGAGAGGCTCAGGGGACGCCCCGGCCCGTATCGTAGACAGTCAAATAAATGGGCTTAAATTGGCGGCCGCAATCCTTTTCGGACTCTTCTGGGCTGTAGGGCTGGGGTACCAATGCTCCAACTCTCTGACTTACATCTGTCTTTATGTATGGGTAGTTGTCAAAATTAT